TGAAGGTCCACTGGGCAATCATAAGGCCAATGCAGGGGTAACCGGTCCTCCTCCTTCTCACTGAAGACATCCGTGAAGTCCATCAATTCAGGAGGTATGGAGATGGCAGAGGTGGTGATGTCCTGGCCAGCACAGGTGTGGCGGAAGTGGTCCACGCACTGCAGACTCAGAAAAAAAATGGCGTTCCACGACCATGCCACCTGAGGATCATGAATCCTAAGCCAAGCCATGATGAGAACTAATGGGAAATGGAGGTCTGTGGTGACATAAAAGCGGATCACCTCCTCATGTTCTCCAATGACTAAGCTCAAAGGCTGGGTGGCGAATTTAATGGGTCCTGCAATAAGTTCCTGCCCATCAATAGTCTCAACCCTCATCAGAGGTTCTACCGGAACCAAGGGGACATCAAAATGGGCCACAAAGGCCTGGTCCATAAAGTTAGTCGTGGCCCCCAAGTCCACCAGCGCATTCGCTGGAATCCCTTTTGACTGGTTAGCCAAGAAAACCCGAGTGTCCAAAATCGGAGGCCGAGGGGGCCCAGAGTCAACCTCCGCTAATTCAGGCGGGTGTTTGATACGTGCCCAGCCTAGGGTTTCCCCCCAGGTCGGGCCTGCCTTGTTTCCCAACTGATCACGCTGAGATTCAGGCACAGGCTTGAGTGCCCCACTTCACTTTAGAGGACAAGAAATAGCGAAATGTCCTGCTCCCCCATAATACAAGCACAAACCCCTTGGCATCTCCGTGTTCGCTCCTGTGCCATCAGGCAAAGTCTGACCACTCCTAACTCCATTGGTTCCTCAGCCATGTCCATGACATGTTGGGTGACCCGGGGCGCTGTTAGCACAGGGCGCTGAAGTACAGATGCGGATGGCTGCTCCTGGATGGTGCGATGGTTCTTTCACCGTTGGAGACGTGCATCAATGTGCAAGCATTGCACCACCAGAGTGTCGAGGGTCGGGGCTGGTTCCACTCGAACTAACTCATCCTGCAGCTCATCTGACAGGCCATCCTGGAAGGCGTCCATTAATGCTGCATCATTCCAGTTGGAGTCCAGGCATAAAAGCCAAAATTCAGAAATAAATTCTTGCAGTGGGCGCTTCCCTTGTCGAAGATCCTGGCTGCCGTCTGCACTCGTATGGGGTCTTCATACATATGTCGCATGTGTTGCCAAAAACCCTGGTAATCAGTTAATAATGGGCTGTTCTTGAGCAACAAAGGTGTGGCCCATCTGGCAGCTGAGTCAGAAAGGAGGCTTATCACAAACCCCACCTGAGCCCGGTCATCTGGGAAATCCTCTGGCCTCATAGCCATAAATAACTGGCACTGTCCCATGAAAGCCAGGAACATCTCAATCTGCCCAGAAAACTTATCCGGCACAGCCACTGGGCATTTCCGATGGGGAGGGGGAGGAGGAGCTGCATGAGCCTGCAGCAAAGCAAGCTGGGCTGTTAATTGAGCCACTTGCTCTTGTAGAGTTTGATTTTTATCTTGCAGCTGTTGTTGAAACTGCTGCTGGTGGTCCATCTTAGATAAAAGGTGGTTTAAGTCAGGTACGGGACAAAAATGTTCTGTCTCACCTTTCTTCTTTCTCAAAAGATGAAAGAGTACAAACTCACACAAACACAGACAGGCAAGCAAGCTGACTCGGACTTCACAGAGTTAATTCTTTGGAACTGATAATGTCCTTGGCATTCCAACATGCTCTGCCTGCCAAGTCCGAATTGATAACAAGTAAAAAGCTACTCACAGAGAATTACAAGGCAGACCACAAGAATCATTCACAAAGAAGAACCTGAAGTAAGATTAAACTTTGTCCCATACAAAGTTCTAGCCGACAACACACCCACTTTTATCCCCTGTGGGGTGTGGCTCAATGACTCAGCTCACTCTCTGACCCTCCCACACCTCCTACGTTGCTGCTCATGTTTCTTCCTGTGATGCTGCCTAGGATCAAGTCAACATTCTTCCTCTTGACTCCCTGTCAGGGGCTGGTCCGATATGCCTTCCTCCTGATTAATCTCAGGCTGTTCCTCTCAGTTGTCTGATGAAACCTGAGCCATTATCAGGGAGGAAAGCATTGCCAGAGAGGAAGGTCCTGCGGAGGAAGGCATTCCCAGTTCCTCCTCCTCATCTTCCAAGTCCTCTTCCTCTAACAGCACAGGCTCGGGAATCAGAGCCACAAGTTTGTGTGCAAAGGCCTTTTCAATAATTTCAGTAAATTGGATCATCTATTATTGTGTCAGAGTTTCTTTTAAATTTTAGTTAAGTTTTAATTACACAGGGTTGCCCTATTCATCTTTAGCTAAAATAACAATTTTACTGTTGTCATAAATAAAATATGGCTTTTAATAAACTTAGTAATTAAAAGCAAACTTAAGCAATTGCATGTATAATAATGAGCATTCTAAATGTTCCCTCATTCTTATTGCTGCAATAATCCATTTGCAGTGACAGTAGAGTTTATTTTTGTTCAGCCCAGAAGAATAATTACACTTTTACTATTTCTTTAATTATTTTTAAAAATCAGTGTTTGTTAAAGTTGATTAGAATGTGAAACATTATTTGTGTCCTAATTGTATAATGATCATTAGAATCATTATGGTTAATACTGTTCTAATTCTGAATGCACAACTCACTTAGTAGAGCATTGTATACATCTGTGCTGGGTGCATCTGCAGATGGGAGAGTCAGAAGGCCAGTGTGGTAGCCAAGATTGTACGGGGGAAGCCCCACTCTCGATACTGACTTTACAGGAATGTAGAAGCAGGCAGGGCTTCAATCATGGTGGCATTCCGCCATCTTGACTATTTTGAGTCCCACTGACATTTGAAACATTTGGTATATTCATCCTGCCTAATCTCCCACCAATTAAGATGTGTTCAGGTCAGAGTCTTCTTTAAGTATGGTAATGCTTAGGAACTGCTAAAAAGTGTGAAAATAGCATTGGAGCAGTTCTTGTCCAACCACCTGTTTGGAAGTTTGTTTATCATTTGAAATGTTGGCATAGACCAAAAAACATATTTCTAAACGATGACATTCCATAAAATCTGTGCTTACATGCGGGACCTTTTCTTGTTGTCTCCTACATTCATTTGGAAAAAGTCCATTCACTGAGAACCAAAGAGGATGAAACATTAATCATATGGCTCAGATTTACATAGCTGGTTTTTTAAAAAGGGAAATAAAAAAGTATTCAAGCCAAAGTGGTTGAGGGGACTTCAAGGGGTTCAAGAGAAATTAGGACCTTAACTGTAGAAAAGGATTTTTTTATAGTGGTCTCAAGCCAAAGGGCACTTTTACATGACCTTTTTATTTTTCTGCTTCCCATTCCCTTCACAGCAGTTTGAAGTTGAGCTGTTGATCATCTTCACAGATACTTGTCTTGTAATACTGAAAACAATCAGTCAATCCATGCTGTCACTCCAGTCAACCTCTAGGAACTTGTAAAGAAAAAAGAAAAAAACAGCTTTCCTTCAGTGTAACAACCCCACCCCCACCCTATTTTTTTAGCTATATGATTTTGGCAGTAAGCAAGCAAGCAAATAAATGTGCATCCAACTGTTTACAAATAAAAATAAATAAAAAGCTTGTTTTCTCTTTTTGTCAGCCACAAGTATTAATATTTTATGTCCTAAGTGCTTTGGTCTGCTATGGATATAATTGATTGGTGCAGTATCCCTGTGAATCATAGCATGGATACATATATTCACAGAGATAACTGTCAACCATTGATCAAGAACCCTGACCCATTTGATAGGGGAAAGAAAACATGAGACAGTAAGTTAAACTATTTTACTTTGCCTATAACAAAAAAGAAAATATTGAAAAATAACCATTTGTAATTAAATTGTAGTAAGTGTAATTAGGACAAATCAAATTTGTCCTACTGAGGTTCTGCTCAATTTTACTGGCTATTAAAACAAATTGGTGACACTGTAAGTGAGTATATCACTCTGATGAGCTAAAAGATAATAAGGTAAAAAGACAATGCAGCTTGAATATTGAGCTAATAAAAGTGTATATGTTTGTGCTGCAATTTGTGATAAACTTGATGGTAAAGAAGCATGTGGGTATTTTTCCAACAGCACATTATTTGTAAAAGAAAAAAATCAGCAACTGCAATGATTCAAGAATTCACCCTACTTTCTTCCTATCTTGCACAACAGAATAACTGTCTCCCCCCGCTACACACAAACACAGAGATACAGACCCACTGACACACAAATATCTGAGCAGACTGGTCTATTTTGCATCTCTCCTTTGTTTTTCTAGGAGTCACATGGTGTTTACTAACAGGGCAAGGACTACTTTTCCAGAATCACCAGTCTGCAGCTGATTTTGGACTAGTGCAGTGCACAAGTGATCCCTAGCAGTGATTGCAAATCTCAGTTGGAGTTGAAAAACATGCCAATGATAGCTGGTTCATAAAACATCTGCTAGGAAATTTGTTAGATGTTTCAGAAAGTCCAGGAATATCTATTATTTTGCCAAAATACTACTTCCTCCCTCCCTCTACAGTGAGATTTGCATCTCCCTGTACAGCAATAAATATATAAGAAAAACAATAAATATTCTTATGTTTGGAGCAAAGTACAGTACAAGCAAAACATTTTTTATCAATGACAAGTTGAACATGAATATTTAAGATATAGTTCAGGAACTGTTGCAAATCTTAACTGTTGGAAAGTCAAATGCTTAATTGTAACCTGAGGCTTTGTCTGTTGTAACTATTTTTCTCTTTTCTACATTCAGTGTCTTCAATTCAGAATTAATTGGGATGATTTGTATCTGTTTATAAAAGAGATATATTGTTTTTAAATAATTACTGCTTGCATTCTGTTTCAGGAGAGAAAGATGAATTTTAATCATTTTAATTCTATTTGCTATGCTGCTTCTTAATTTTCTTACGCTATCATATGATTTATTTTATAAATTGACATATATTCATTAATATTTATGTGCTTTTCTTTTCCATCCATCTCTCTCCATCTCATGAAAAGCACATCAGGGTAAGTTAAACCACAATGGTTGCTGATCATGTTCATTTTCAGCACCATGTTTAAATTTCCTCCTTTATTTTATTTATTTTTTATTTATTTATCTTACTATTTTTAATTGATGATCTGAGAATTGAACTAAAATTAAATACTACAATATTTTAAATTGGCAACATTTGATACCCTTTGAAAGTATGCATTTAGTTTATGGATATACCAATTTGTTTTTAAATGAACTGAATGAAACTCTAAAAGTTTTTAAATAAATTATCAAAATGTTCTAAATATTATAACTTAAATTGCACTCAGTCATTTGATTCATTTACTTGTTCTATATGAACGTTATATAGAACAATACTATTTTGATTTCTTTCACTCTTGATTTCGTCTCTTAGCAATTCAGTTAATTTGCAAATATGCTTTATTACTCTTGAGATTTTGGCTAAAACAGTAGAATGTAAAACTACTTTACTTACCTAGGTGAAAGACTCACTGAAATAAAAAGCCCTCATTCCTAGCCAGTATGTATAGGATTGAATTTTTTTATCTTATAAACAATCAGAAAATCTAAAAGGAAAACACAACTACTTGTAAGAATTAACATAATGTAAATAGAATCGGTTTTGGAGATTTACATGAAGTCTTCTTGCTGAAAGTCAGAATCTTATTCTAAATTTTTCAAGTAAAGTATGTACACATACAGAGATGCAGACAAATAGATATATATAGATATATTTGTTTTCGCAGGTACTTACATGTATGGTATTCAGCTTTGTTCGGGTATTTTCCCACATCATTATAATTGTGCTTTTAAAGTTGTAGCAACGTTTCGGCAGAATCTCATCTGCCATCATCAGGCTTCTGTATTGTGTTCGTCTGTGAATCAGACTTTCACAGCCGTTTCAGTTTTAAATTTGGGGCTAGCCTACTGCTGTGCCAAAATGGTTTTTTCTTCATCCTGATTAGTTGGGAGTCTTAGTCTGTGTTTATTGGTCTTGGAGTTTGCTGTGTTCTGCTTGATTGGTGTTTCTAATATCTTCTGTCTGTTTTGTGGCTTTTTTTGTTTTGATTGGCTGGCAACATTGTGTTTCTGTATTGGAGGCTTTTAGTGCAGCTTGGCTCCGAGTAAATGGACAGCTATCATTTATTAGGAAGCTAGGTTTCATCTGGGTGCCTAGTTGGGATGTCCTAACCAAAGGATTCAATTATGCTATAGCACCCAAAAAATCCCCACAAAATCCATCATATGTGCAGTAGAATCCAGCCTAACTAAATTAAATACAGATGAAGCTGATAGAATAAGACACCAAGTTACTAACATCCTATGCACAAGCAAGCCATCCAAAAGCAACTTGCACAAAGAGGAACTAAAAGCCCTGAAGCCCTAAGGAACGACAGCAGCATAATCATACTTCCAGCAGATAAAGGAAATGTCACAGTAGTAATGGATAGAAAAGATTATGAAACAAAATTGACAGACCTACTCCAAGACTCCACATACAAACCCATAAACATGGACCCAACCACATATCTGGAAAGTATAACCAAGAAGAAAATTATAACCAGCCACATGAGCAAAGAGATCCAACAGACCATCATCCCAAGAGAAAAAAACTTCCAGATGCCCCAAACTATACGGCCTCCCAAAAACACAAAAAGAAGGCATACCTCTCAGACCCATAGTCAGCTCCAGAGGAGCACCACTACAAAACCTAGCTAAACACTTAGCAAAGCAGCTACAGTCCCATGCTGAAGCAGCAGCTTTACATGTACAAAACTCATACCACCTCTTGGAAATGATCAAAGATCTACACAAGGAACAAGAAGATCTGCTTGTAAGTTTCGACGTGGTTTCACTATTCACTCAAGTCCCGATAAAAGAAACTCTTGAAATCATCAAAAATAAATACCAACCAGCTAAACACCTCATAGAACTAGCAGAACACTGCTTAACCAACACATATTTCATATACAAAGGACAAAGATACAAGCAAATTGAAGGAGCCCCTATGGGATCACCACTGTCACCCGTCATTGCAAACCTGTTCATGGAAGAATTCAAATCCAGAGCCCTAGCTAATGCCACCCACAAACCCAAACTATGGTTAAGATACATCGATGACACATTTGTAATTTGGCCCCATGGAAAAGAAAACCTAAACAATTTCCTAACACACCTAAACAGCACACCCCCCAAAGTCAAGTTCACCATGGAAACGGAAACAAACAACTACCATTCCTAGATGTACTAATCTACAAAAAAAAAATGATGGCACACTAGGACACAACATATACCAGAAGAAAACACACACCAACCGCTACCTCAATGCCCAATCCCACCACCACCTAGCGCAGATAAACTCCATGGCCAAAACACTAATCACCAGAACCAAATGCCTGGCAGACAACACACACATAAAGACTGAACTATGCACCCTGACTAAAGTACTGACAGCTAATGGCTTCCACAAAAGCAAAATCACCAGCTTGATCCACAAAAACACACTGAGACATAATAGAGACCCAGAAGATGAACAGACCTATGGAACAGCTGTCCTGCCCTGCATAAGAGGTACTACAGACAAAATCAGTAAGATACTACACAGGCATCACATCAGGTCTGCCTTCAAAACAGACAGAAAAATAGCAGCCATCCTTAGAAACCCCAAAGATAAAATTGACCTGGAAAACTAAGGCACATATGAAGTCCCCTGTGCATCATGCCCTGCCACATACATTGGACGGACCAATAGAAGAATAAGTACCTGCCTGGATGAACACAAAAATGCAGTCAAAAAGCTGGAACACACTTCCTCACTAGTCCAACACATGAAAGCAACAGGTCATAGCATTGACTTCAATGGCACCAAAATCCTAGCCACTATAGAAAACCCCAGCCACAGAATTATCAGAGAAGCCATAGAGATTGAAAAAGACCTGAAAGCATGAATAGAAGAGATGATTCCACCAGACTGTCAATTATTTGGAAGCCTGCACTCACAAACAAAAAAATCTCCACACCACAAGCCAGGCAAACACCTGGGCACAGACAGATCCCCCCTGATACCTCCAGCTCAAACAGAACCCAGCCAGGCACCCAGATGGAACCTAGCTTCCTAATAAATGATAGCCATCCATTTACTCGGAGCCAAGCTGCACTAAAAGCCTCCAATACAGGAACACAATGTTGCCAGCCAATCAAGACAAAAAAAAAGCCACAAAACAGACAGAAGATATTAGAAACACCAATCAAGCAGAACACAGCAAACTCCAAGACCAATAAACACAGACCAAGACTCCCAACCAATCAGGATGAAGAAAAAAACCATTCTGGCACAGCAGTAGGCTAGCCCCAAATTTAAAACTGAAACAGCTGTGAAAGTCTGACTCACAGATGAACACAATACAGAAGCCTGATGATGGCAGATGAGATTCTGCCGAAACGTTGCTACAACTTTAAAAGCATAACTATAATGACGTGGGAAAATACCCGAACAAAGCTGAATACCATACATATAGATATATTGCATATAGTAGTTCTTGCCCTACTACTTACTTAATGTGAAGGATGTGTGTTTGTGTTTTATTTTTATAGTTATAATGTACACTGAAGATGGCATTTAATTTCATTGTACAAGGTGCAGTGACAATAAACTAAACTAAACCAGTCACTTAATGATGGTTTGAAGTTACAACAGACCCACAAGAGCTACCTATGATCAATAGTGCAGTTCCAACAGCTGCCTCGCCACAGTCACATGACCACATTTGGGGCACTTGACAATCCACATTTATGGCTATTTGCAGCATCCCACAGTCACAAGACTACAATTTATGATGTTTTTGCCGAGAACGATTTTTTTTCATTTTTTGGCAAAACCACCTCATAGTGAACAATGGATTCACTTGTCAACCAAGTTTTCACTTTATGATTGCTTATGTTCACTTAATGAACACTGTAAAAATGTTTGTAACATCAGATTAATCATGTTGATCATCCGAGTTATGACCGCTACAACTTACAATTGTAACACTCTGTTACAGTCAGAAGTCATGGTCTACCTAAATTATAGTTTTAATGTACCTTAAGTTTCCAGTGTCTATAATTGTTTTCATCATGTTTACAATTTGATGAGCTTATGCATTAAGTAATTTGATCAATTCTTCATAATGGTGGTATATTAGTAGCATTATTACTTACAGATGTTCAATAGGGATTACTTTGCCTTCTAAACTGCATTTACATAATATTGATGTTTAAGAAAGTGATGTTCATTGTGTATTAAAACAAGGTAACAACAGTATTATTTTAGCAAGCTGAGCTTTTATTCAAAGTATATTATATTTTGTTACTATAGACTATATTAATTTTTCTGTCATATTTAAACAATCATTTAAAATTTTCACTTTTTTGATCCTATCATAAATTTGTGCTACCAAGTATGTGGTTTTTTAAAAAAAAAATGCAGACGTGATAGAGTTCGCTTGCTACATTGCACCATGTGAATGAAAAGTATTTTAAAAAATAAAATTACACAATAATGCACATAAGATTGATCATTATTCTAATTTTTTTACTAACTGACTTCATTCCTATCTTTTATTAGTAAATAAATTTATGTGTAGATGACTTTTTTTCCTATGTTCTATATTGAAATTCAGTTTTCATCTAGATCAGCTTTCTCCAATCTGATATTCTCCAAGAATTTTAGACTATGGTTGTTGGCCATGCTGACTGAGGAGGATGAAAGTTATATTTCAGTATATCTGACAAATGGCAAGTTAGGAAAGCTGATCTAGTTTAACAAAGTGTGGAATATTCTTGTAGGATTCTACCTGTCATCATTGGCATTCTAGATTAGAACCTTTTTTCTAAAATAAATATGAATATTATTGTATAAATTAAGCTCAATGAATTAAAGTTTTGTGCACTAAGTTAAGCTACATTCCTATAATATTTAGGAGAAAAATAATCATACACTCTGTAGTTAGGTTATGTTTCATATCTAGAT